TTGGGTACACACACAGCTCCAATCCAAACAAGACCTTTAGGGACAACTACAGAAACCTGATCACCAGAAATGATTATCACTCTAGTGTGTAGAACAATTAAAGGAAATGAATTAATGGCACATGAACGTACACTCAGGCACATCCCACACAGGTGGATGTGAAGGGCTCCCATACAGTTTTTCACCTCCATGAAGAACTTAAGAAAATACTAGGAAATAATGGAATTATAGAATGGTTTAGGTTGGAAAAGACTTCTAAGAGTATTAAGCCCAACTGTCACCCCATCCCTGCCAGGTCCCCACTGCCCCGTGTCCCTCACCCCACATCTCCAAGGCTTGGAAACCCCTCCAGGGGTGGGGACTCCACCACTGCCCTGGGCAGCTTCTTCCAGGGCTAAATCATCATGCTTTGACTCAGAAATGTTCCAGTTTCTGAGATTCTCTCATTAAAATCTTCCACTGGCTTCATAAGCACAGGGGTTTATTTGGTGTGATGTGGAGCTTAACATCCCTAAAGCTGAGTTCTGACACAGACAAGAAGAAAGTTGCTCTAGCTGCAGTCAAATGCTCTGCAATGGGCAAGAGTGTTCTCCTCCAAGGGGAGAGCCTCGTTAGTAAACATGTAAAACCTTCCTCAAACCGTTTTTGACACTCTTCAAATCTATTTTAAAGGTTCAACACGTGCACAAAGACCTTAACTTGGTTATATTTCTTCAGACCTTCTGTGGAAATATCTTCCTTTTGGTACAGATCCAGAAACCCGTGCTGCTTCCACTGGAAATCAGATTTGAAACCCTAATTCCTTGTGTCTTTTTGGACAGAACAGACTCTGAAGGGACGACTCTGAGGAGTCCAGAAGAGCTTGTCCACAGCTGGCACACAGCCAGTTACAGCTTCAGGGTTTGGTTTTATTTTTGCATTCTACCTGGCTCAAGTCTATTTTTGAGGTCATTTGAATTATTTTTTTAATTGGCTGGGCAGCCCCTTAGAGACTTTCCACTAAACACCTGACCCCTCTTGGTCAGCTCTTCCAAGGAAGGGCAGGAAAACAGCTTGCTCAGCACCATAACTGGCACAGACTGTGGTAACCCTCAGCCCTTCCCCAGCCCCCTGGCTCCACAGCCTGGTTCCCCTGGGTCTGTGCTGGGTTTGTGCCCAAGCAGAGGTGCAGTGTTACCGGGAATCACCGGAGGGCATCGCTGCAGGTAACTCGGCTGGTCCTGCTCCCCGCACCCTACAGAGGATGGGTTTTGAGAAAACTGATTGCAATCTAGTGCAGAGCCTTTCCTGGCGTTGCTGCTTGAGCTCTGTCACCGACACAGCGTTTTCAAATCAAACATCTCCAACCCCAATTATGGGTTTGTGTCTGTGCCCCCTCATCCCTGAGTCCTCTCCGTGTCACACGGTTTGTCTGCAGCAGAGCAACCCACACGGCTGCATGGCTTAGGAATACAGACACAAGGGATAGAGGAGAAAGATGTCCTTTAAAATTTCATTGCTTCTTAATTGCTGTATTCTTTAAGCCCATGGAAATGATTTACAGACTGTTAAGGTCGTTAGCAGGCTGCCCATTCAGTGCCTGAACCTGTTGGCTGAAGGGTTTCGGCTACAACGGTTCTTGCATCTGCAAATAACCTGGGATCAAATTATACAATAACTCGCAGCTCATTAACTCCTCTGAGGAGACCAAATGCCAGGGGTGGTATTTTTTAGTGCAGGCTACGGTGGGTAACAGATGCCAGCACTCTGGAGCTGCTGCAGCTCCCAGCCCCATCCCCAGGGGTGGCCCCTGGCCAGGGCAGGCTGCAGCTGCCTCCGCGGGAGCACACAGGAGGGTGAGGTGACCTCTTCAGCTGCCAGGGCATGATGGGGTGGTGGCATGGCTCTGATTTCTATTTCCACACAGAGTAGAAACCTCTCTGGGCAACCCGTGCTGGTGTCTCACCATCCTCACTGTAAAAAATGTCTTCCTTCTCTCTAGTCTCAATGTCCCCTCTTAGTTTAAAGCCATCACCCCTTGTCCTGTTGCAGCAATGACCCCTTGTCATGTTGCTAGTATTGATGAAAGGAGCCTTGCTTGGTTGTACAGGCAGAGGTGTTTTGGGGGCTGGAGGACAGCTCTCTCTTCTGGGGATGTTCACTCCATAGTTTACACTGTCCCTGCCCCATGTTTCTCACAGCAGCATCACTTCAGAGCTCAGTCTGAGATGCCCTTCTCCTTCCCTCACCTCTGCCTGGCTGCTGTGCTACCTCCTGTTCCACTGAAGCAGATCTTAACAGGATCCATCAAAGACACCTTTCATGTTTCTCCTCTGTGAGCCAGCCACGGGCACCAGCAAGGTAGTCAAGAGAGATGCTTTTGGGGGGATTAATTCTGCTCTAATCCCCACTAAAGGGATAGCAGCGTGGAAGTCAGGCAGGAAAAGAGACAAGTTGTCTGAAATGCTACCAGCACAAGGACTCAAAAGTGACAGAGATCACTCAATAAAATCCCCACAGAAGCAAACAGATCTGTACAGCAGCCTTGGAATGCTCAGAGAGGGGCTGCAAGTCATTCCTCTCTGCACTTCAAGGGGCTGCTGCAGAAGCAGTGACCCAAGAGAGACCCCCAGGATTGCACTGCTCAGTGACAGCTTTGTTCACAGGGGTCTTCTGCTGGCTTCACACCCCGACAGGAAGGATACTGCCATCAGCAAGAGCACACAGGCCACATCCTTCCCTCTGATTCTAGATTACACATGGAAGATACGAGGTAGGCCACATCCTTCCCTCTGATTCTAGATGACACATGGAAGATATGAGGTGGCCAACCACCAGAGGAACAAAGAGGTTGATACATTCACTCACTGTGTAAGATGAGGTGAAGACAGGAGCAAATCGACCACGAAACCAGGTGGCCAGTCCAATTCCAGTTGCACAGCCATGGCCACACAATAGTGCCATTGTTCCAGCTCTAATCCTCCCCCTGCTCCCAGATGCACTCATGTCCCACCATCACTGGGGGCTCTGCCCACGATGGACAACTGGAGAGTCCTTCCAGGAACCAGAATGCCCAAACCACTGCAGGCAGAGGCAGCCTTTATGCTGCTAACTCTAGAGGCAGGACACCCGGTGGGAATTCTGAAAGGGGATGCTGCTAACTCTAGAGGCAGGACACCTGATGGTAATGCTGAAGGTGGGGGCACCTGCTGGGGATCTCCTCATTGGTTCCCACCCAAGGGTGGCCAGAACCTGGGTGAAAACCAATCTGGAAGGTCCTTCCTGCCTGGTTGTGGACATCATCCACATGTCAATCCTGATTCAGAACTGGGAGTTTAGACCCCAGCAGTTTAAGGTTTTTTTTTTTTTTGGAAAGCCAGAGAAGAGGCCAGGCCCATTGGTGGTACTACAAAAAAAGAGCATAAACAAGAGGCAGTTTACAATAATGATTTTCCTCTTGGTATTTCCAGTGGTTTTGGTTGATACATGGAGTCAACCTCCTCCTCTTACACACCATCATCCCCAAACACAGGCACCATTTTTCTAAGTGGCAGCACAACCTCTTACATAAAGATAATTTTCATAATTAATGATTAGAGTTATTTTTATAAAGGGAAAGTGTTAAAATCATTCTTGAAGAACTCAAAACCCACTCTGGGATACCCAAGTTGATCTAAGAAAGGCAAATGTATGCTGAAAAATCCCTGAAAACTCAAATCCTTCTGCCTCAGAGTACATTTGACACAAGCTAATTCCACACACTGAAGCAGCTCCTGCCTGATGTAAATCCTGTCCTGGTGGTGTGGTGCAGACCCTGCACTTGTTATAAACACTTTGATGTTTGTGAGGCACTGCCAGTGTATTTCCAACAGTACTTAAACTTGCTACTTTTAGAAAAACCATGAATTAAGCCCAACATATTTTGTAAAAGGATTGCAAGTGTCCTTTGATGACATAAAGTGATTGACAACTGGCTTTAGAAAGACTGGGGTGGGAGATAAGGAACTCACAGGGTATAAACAACTGCACCTGGGAGATAACACACAAAAAGGCAAAAGTTTAGAGTACAGAAAACAGAAATTAAAGAACTGGGAGAGGAGATAGTAAAACAGTTATAGTAGTCAGTATTAGTCATGAATATGAACAGTACAGGACTAGAAAATGGAGCTTGTGTAAAGCAGAGGAAGGGACACAGGAATCAGAGGAGAGGCCCCCGTCCTCCCCCTGCTGGGAGGAGCACACACACCCCAGTTCCTGACTCCTGCTTTCCCAGCTGAGAGATTTTGGGTTCTGACTTACTCTTTCTTCCCCTTAAGCGGTCCTCCCCCTGCTGGGAGGAGCACACCCCCCCCAATTCCTGACTCCTGCTTTCCCAGTTGAGAGATTTTGGGTTCTGACTTGCTCTTTCTTCCCCTTAAGTGCTAGTTTTGGTGACAGAATCTGGGACTCATCGTGCCATTTTCCAAAAGAAAAGCAACCTCCAGCACTCAGGGGAAGGCTGGTAGGTCTCACACACAGATTGACACTTCTCTCTGTTCCAAGGTTTGAACAGTTCTAAGGGATTCAGCAAGAACAAGCAGCAAGGACAGCAGCAGGACGTGAATATGTGTGTGGTGACCTGCTGACCTCCTTCCCTTCTTCATCCCCACCTCTGTAACAGTCTCTCCCAGCCTCTAAACAACACATCCAATAACTTGTAGAAAAGAGAAAGATCACCTCATCTTTGTAGAAAAGCTTAGCAGAGGGACCCTCCTCTGCTGCTGAGAGCCTCGCCCAGACCCTTCTTGCTCAGCCTTGCCAAACTCTGATTGCCCTTTTTGGGGAGGAGAGGGAAAGGAGGCATGACCTTGGACTTCCCCTCAACGTGCTTTCAGCCCAGAATAAACGAGCTGGGAGGCAGGAGGCACCACCATGGCATCAGCCTTGACCCGTGCACAGCTCTAGGCCGAGACGAGCTCGCCGCCGACCCGCACGGAGAGGCCCCTTCCCCTTCTTCCCCCTCCCCTCCGGACGCCACTCACCGGTGCTGCTCTGGATGGTCCTGACGGTGGTGGTGGTGCGTGGGGGGGAGGCGGAGCGCAGGGACAGGCACTCGTCGTCCTGGGAGCAGCCCTTCTCGATGGCCCGCACGTAGCTGTGGCTGCGCATGCGGAAGCAGCCGGGCAGGGGCAGGTCCAGGGCCTCCACCGCCTGCGACTCCAGCTCGCTGAACACCGACTCGCAGACGGACTCGAACTGCCCGTTCACCTCCATCTCGCTCACCTGTGGGGGCACACAGCGCCTCGGTACCACCCCGCCGCCCGCTGGGCCCCCTCGTGGGAGAATACAACCATAGAATCCTTTAGGTTGGAAGAAACCTTTAAGATCATCAATTCCAACCATTGCGCCATTAGGGCTCTAAAGTCCTTTGCTAAAACAGACCAGGATCTGTCAGGGTTGGAAGGGACCACAAGGATCCCCCAGTTCCAACCCCTCTGCCATGAGCAGGGACACCTCCCACTAGATCAGGCTGCCCAGAGCCTCCTCCAGCCTGGCCTTAAAGACCCCCAGGGATGGGGCCTCAACCCCCTCCCTGGGCAACCCATCCCAGGGTCTCACCACTCTCCTGGGGGAAGAACTTCTTCCTCACATCCAGCCTGAATCTGCCCACTTCCAGCTTTGCCCCATTCCCCCCAGTCCTGTCGTTACCTGATAGCCTAAAAAATCCCTCCCCAGCTTTCTTGTAGGCCCCCTAAGATACTGGAAGGCCACAATAAGGTCACCTCGGAGCCTTCTCTTCTCCAGACTGAACAGCCCCAACTTGTAGGAGAAGGGGTGAATGGCACAACAGCCCGTCCCCATTCCCAGAGCAACAGTCGTTACTGGGAGGAAAAAGGCACAAAAAGGGGAGAGGGAGGCTTTGGGCACAGACCCAGCAGAGCTCAGCCCCCTGGCTCCTCCTGAGACTGGTGGTAAACTGGTGGTAAACTCATCAGCATCTGGTTTCTCCCACCCTGTGTCCACAGCAGAGGTTGGACCTCTGGCTGTTATGAACGTTACACTGAAAACCAAAAATCATTCTTTCTTTGGAGGGTGAGGGGAAAAAAAGGTCAGCTGCACCCAGTACAAAACTGGTGTCAACCAGAGGCAATGCCAGTGACTGAGCTCGAACCTCATGGGTTGGGAAGCACGAGGGTAGGAGTGGTAACAAAGAGTTGGGGAAGGGAGGCTGATAAGGACATGGGATGGCTGGAGCGGGGCCAGAGGAGCCCCAGCAATGATGTGAGGGGGGAACCCCTCTGCTGGGAGGCCAGGCTGGGAGAGTTGGGCTGAGGGCAGCTGAGAGGAGAAGGCTCCAGCTGGGGAGACCCCCTGGGGGCTGCCAGGGCTTAAAGGGGACCTAGAAGAAAGGTGGGAACAGACTTTTTAGCAGCACCTGTTGGGACAGGACAAGGGGGGATGGTTTGAAACTAAAAGAGGGAGATTTAGACTAGAGAGAAGGAAGAAATTGTTGATGCTGAGGGTGGTGACCCCTGGCCCAGGCTGCCCAGAGAGGTGGTCGCTGCCCCATCCCTGGAACCATCCCAGGGGAGGTTGGACACAACTCTGAGCACCCTGCTCTAGCTGGGGATGTCCCTGCTCCCTGCAGGGGGTTGGATTCGATGAGCTTTTTAGGCCCCTTCCAACCCAAAATATTATGTGATTCTGCAGTTCTGCAAAGGGAACTAACTTTGCTACAGGGGAAAGATGTTTGTAGAGCTACAGCTCTGAGCTGACTCCTTTGGCTGAGAGCGAGAGATGGAAGAGAATTCTCAGACCCTTTGTGGAGCAGACACTAGGTGGTGACAGAGACTTACACTCAGGTTAAAGAACATTCAAAAGCAAGTGGCCTTGCTGCAGGTCCTGCAGACCTGGAAACCACTTACCCCGGCTTAATTAGTGATGGATGCTGATGTTTCTACACTGACAATGGAGTCCTGAGCTTAGCACCAAGGCAAAATCACTGTCACTGTAGAGATCGTGTACATAGAAACCACCACTCGGGAGCTCTGTTAGTTTTCAGGCACACAAAAGGCCAAGATTGCACGAGAAGACAAGACAGTGTTAGGGCAAGGGAAAAAAAACCCTTACAAATTCTTTTCCATGATGAATTTTACCACGGAAACCATTATATTGAGTATTTTTACACATAACTAAAAGGGAAATGTCAGAGAATAGAAAATCTTTTCCCAAGGGAAACGGCTTAAAAGAGTAGTGGACAGTACATCACAAAGAACAGTCGAGCAGTGGTGGTGAATAGCCATATCCCCAGATCAATACCTCTGAATTAATGCTTTTTTAAAAACCTAACCCCTCTTCATTTTGGCAAATAACACTTTTTTTTTCAGATGGCTCTGTAGAAATGTCAGCTGTCCAGCTAAATAAGGATTTCAGTGCAGCGATGCCTTAGTATGTACACTGTGACATCTGTACTGTAGAGGTGGGGAGGTCAGAGGTGCAAGGGCTTAAAAATGTGCACAACAGCATAAAGAAAGCTTTAAAAATTCTAATAATAATAAAATGGTGAAATTAAAAAAATAACTGGAGACTTCATTTCCCTTTGGCATCTCACCCAGCATGTGAACATGGGGTTTTGTCCCCTGAGGGATTCAAAACCGTTTGATTTCAGGTGTGAAGCACAAGATCCTCAGGAGAACCTTGTTGAAAGGCACCATTGAGAAGCTTTTGGGCAAGAAAAATAAAACCTGAGACTTCTCCTTCAAAGGAAACGTGCGTTGTGCCACCCACCCATCTCCAAAGGGCAGGTTCTGACACTACCAAACGTTGCCCTCTCAGAACCAGGACTGTGTGAAGCATTTCTGACTCCTTAAAGGCATTTTGGGGACGCGTGGCATGCAACAGCCCGATTCCAGCTGCAGCACAGACCAAGCTGCTCCTGCTGGAGGGGCCTGGCTGGTGGCCAGCAGGTCACCCCTGGGGTGTCACCCACCTGACTGATGGTGCTCATGGCCCTCATGTAGCTCTCATTGCGGGAGCGGAACTTGGGGGACGTCAGCAGCCCCGCGGGGTCCAGGCTGTCCAGGCTCCTGTTGATGGACACCTCACTCACTGCCCGCAGGTAACTGTGGCTCCGGATCTGAAGCTTTGGTGAGTGTTCACTGGAAATCCTGGGGAAAAAGAAAAAAAAAACCAAACCCATAAATAGATTTTCATTGAAACTCAATGGCCTCACCAGGAGTGGGGTAAGGGTCAGCGGTACGGGGCCTCGTTGGAGGCCTGTGGCTCGTGGTGTTCCCCAAGGATCAGAACTGGGTCTAGTTCTGTTCAACGCCTTCTCTGCTGACCAGGATGAGGAATGAAGGAGCAGAGTGGACGCTCAGCAAGTTTTCTGGTGATACAAAACTGGGAGGGGTGGCTGATGCACTGGAAGGCTGTGCTGCCATTCAGCAAGACATCAACAGGCTGGAGAGATGGACAGAGAGGAACCTCATGAAGTTCAACAAGGGCAAGAGCAGAGTCCTGTACCTGGGGAGGAGGAACCCCCTGCACCAGGACAGGGGAGGGGTGACCTGCTGGGAAGTAGCTCTGCAGAGAAGGATCTGGGAGTGCTGGGGGGTGAGTTCACCATGAACCAGCAACTGTCCTTCATGGCCAAGGAAGCCAGTGGTCTCCTGGGGTGCACTCAGAAGACTGTGGCCAGCAGGTCAAGGGAGGTTCTCCTGCCCCTCTGCTCTGCACTAGTGAGGCAACATCTGTGGTGTTGTGTCCAGCTCTGGGCTCCCCAGTTCAAGAGAGACAGGGAACTGCTGGAGAGAGTCCAGTGGAGGCTGGGGAGATGATGAGTGTCCTGGAGCATCTCTGTGGCAGGCCAGGCTGAGAGGCCTGGGGCTGCTGAGCTGGAGAAGAGAAGCCTCAGAGGGGATCTGAGCAGTGCTGAGCAAGAGCTCAAGGGCCCCGGGGGGCAAGAG